ACTTAATATTATTATAAAACTGAAAATAAATAAAATACCGTCTTCGTGTTATTTGGAATGATTTCGATGAAAAAGTCATACCTACTTCATTATTGATTCCACGGTATTAGTCTAGATTGAAAATATGCCCAACTACAGTATCAATAACATTATAATAAACTATAATTAATAATAATTAATTATAATTAATTAATTAATTAATTTTTATAATATATATTTTTATAATCTAAGTTTAAATGCATGTTGATGTACTGCAGCAAAAGCATACACATAATTTATAATAAAATAAAACAATAATTAGTAAATGGTCAATACTCGTGAATTAATATATAAATAAATAGTTTATATATAGAGATAAATAAATAAATTCTTAGCCTGGAATATTATTATGTGTAATGTATGACCAGTTTCAAATCAAATATTTATCAAGTATATTACAACATTCAAAAAATTGCGACTGAATATAAAAAAAAAAATAAAGGAAGAAATACATTGTGGAAAAAATGGTAATTTTCATAGAGTTAATTTATTTTCAGAGGAAAGATTATTTAAAATGAGTTTTTATTATACATAAATATGATAAGAAATTAAAATTATTTATTTATTATTTTTACTATCTAAAATGTATTAATATAATATATTTTAAAATTAGTTTGTATATTTGAAATATTATTAAAATTATTTTTCTTTACTTCACTGTATATGTGTAAACCTTCTCTAAGTCTTATAATACTGAGATAATGTAAATTTTATTTGGGTGCCTAATATTTCTAAGTCTATATTGATGCCAAAACGTATGCTATGATTATTTTCTACAACACGTTTAGCAAAATTAGAATTAGATGCAGTATTTTTAAATTTTATTCCAGATATGTATTCTTTATAGCTTATTTTAAAATTTCTTAAGAACACTAGACGTAGAATACTGGGAAAAAATTATACATGATAGGGAAAGATGGAAGGCTTTGTCAGTGGAGGCGAAGACTCTTGGAGAGTCATAAAGCCAAGAAGAAGGACGTTGTTTTCACACACGACGGTATTTTCCCTTGAGTCGTCTACGTTTGGTTATATTTTACTTTTAAACTCTTAACTCGGTTATCTTTCATCACGCATTGTTAACAAATCATTACCATGTGGCTTTTGTAGAAAACGATGAATCAATCATGTTTACGGTTATTATGATTACATTTAACTAATGATTACGAACTTCTCTATAATCATTGTTGGTTCCGTTTCTATCTTTGTAAAGACCGTGAGACTTATCATATAAGATAGGTATGCATTCTACAGCAAAAATTAATATTTCTGTGTCCATATTCATGACTTTTTATTTAAAAAAGCGATAACGAGCAGCTTCGACAATGGACGATGAATGAATAAAAATCGTATTTTACGAAAGCGTACACTAAAATACGTAAGCCACGACGACGGAATGACACTGAAATTTTCAGTCACCGACACGGTTATATCAGGGCAAACCTACGAAAAAAATCAGTCTATCGTCTCGTGTCAAAGCCGAAATTACTTTCATGAGTTTATTGCCAATTAAAATCCGTACGGACGATACCGTCGTGTGTAAAACTGGTCCAACGGGTAAAATAACTATTGCCCATCCACAATAATTGTGAAATTATTATTAAGTTAATTATTACAAAATGTTTTATTCGTAGTAGGCTTGCTAATTTGTTTTATTATTGTATTTGACAATTTAATATAAAATCATTTTTTTTTTAAAAATGTATTTGCTTTTTATTTAGATGAATTATGATAACCTTTTATCATTTATAAATATAATTTTAGTTAACCTCCTTTTTATCTGTATCTAAATAGATTTTCAGAATACTTTCTTCATCTTTGTTTAGATTAAAGAATATTTATTCTGCCTCTACACTGTGTACACCTCTCATTCTCTAAACGAATTTTCTCTCTGTAATATTTTTTCACCAGTACCTCAAAATTGTAATTGTCGTACAAAGATTTGCAAAAATTAAGCGAATATTCGTCAAGGAGTCATACAGCAGTGAATTTAGCTACGAGTTTCTTAACTACAATGCATATAAAATTGTATGACTATCAAACGTAAAATCATCACTTCATAACTTCCTCACCGTATTTATAGGAAGCACTATCGTATATGTACTTCTCATCAGTGGCATAACTCGGAGTCAATACTGGTGGGGGGGGGGGGGGAAATCAGTAGTAAAACTAAAAAACTGGTACCATAGGCCTTTACACTTATAAATGATAAAAATAAACACGATAATAATCTTACTTCGCATTGTGCTATTGTGGTAATAACTAAATAACCCGCTATGCCATCACTGTCATCTCTCTGCAATTCCTCTTATTACGATATGAAGGCCCTTGGTTTTTAATGATATTATTAATAAATAATAAACTGAGGCACTCAAAAAGTCAAAATGATAAATCTATTATTATTAATTATTATACAATCCATTATGCTGTTTAATTTTTTTATGATAAAATAGAAATTTAATTATAAGTTATAACTTTTAAGGGGAGTGGGCAAAACGATACAATTGCTCCCTCAATAAAATATCTAGAGGGGCAGTTGCCCTATCTTGCCCCCTCTCCCCACAGATTACGCCTATAATTCTCATTGTATATATTTCTACCTCTTGTCATTTATAGCGAAACAGAATAACACCAAAATAAAAAAAAATATAACAATTTGAAAAACCTTTATGAACACACTTAAAAACAGTTTTTAAATAATGTATATTGTAGCACAGCGTACAACGAATGCCTCCGTCTCCCGTTTTTCCTTAAATCTAATTAATAATTTAGTTGCTATTACTCATTCGTTTCATCGGTCTATATTCCAAATGTTGTTATAAAAGTCACTCTACAACTTTAGTTAATTATTATATTATGTTGATTGTAAAAAATATTTATTGAACCATTTGAGTATTAAATATATTGTAGATTAAAAATTAGATGTTATCAAAGAGGTTTCATTAAATAAATAAGATGTTGATAACATACGAAGAAAATAACTGAAAACCCGAGAAGTATTTGATGGGCGTAGGCAGCTAAGCCAATATATTCGGTTGAAGAGATGTCTGACGTAAAGATATAAAACACAGTAAATATATTAAATCAAGAAGATTCTAGTATAAAAGTTCCAAGAAAAAAAAATTATTTCAATCAACTCAAGTATAGCTTCAAGTCGAACATAAAACGAAAACAATGATTTATAAACCAACATGATTTAAATTGGTAATTTAATCAAAAAATTATCTTGTTGCCTTAACCTTATTAAATCCATTATTATAACCCATTTAGGTGTATTTATTTTATATTTATAATATTACTGCAACAGCCATTACAAAACATAACCATACTTTTGGCTAGGCCTAACGGATAATTTAGATATTTACCGGACGATCCCATTTGTGTTTATGGTAAGCAAATCATAGTGCTACAATATGTGCAATGAATATCTGAATTTTTGCTGTCTACGACCTTCATATAAAGATACTAATTGGAAGTATAAATCGGTTATTAAATAATGTAAATTTTACTATATTCCATTAGGTTCCTACTATAAATTCATATAAGTTCTATTAAAAACCTGTTAACTTCATATTAGTAGCCTATTTAGTCGCTACTATAAATTAATTTTGATCCCGTTAAAATCATGTTATTTTCTATATAAAATCAATTTAGCCACTGTTATAATTTCATTTTATTTCTATTGAAGGTCTGTTTAGTAACTAGTTTACTATATTCATTTTTAGGGTTGTACTAGTTTTTAAAAACATAGTTAAGACTTATTTTTAAAAATTAATCTTTTGTTTCGTATTTATTTTTATTTTATTGAGTTTTATTTATTTAATTGTTGAGGTATTTTATTTTATTTAGTTTTAATTGATTTTTGGTAATTCTATAACGTAGATTTTATATTATTTGCAATTTCAAACAAAAAACGTGTATGCAATACGTGACTTGGAGTCTAATCACTATGCCTCTCGATTATTAACCATATAACAATACACAAGGTGTTCGAACGCTACGCTGTTTAGTGAAGCGATTATAGTTTTTCAAACTAAGTCATTTAGAATCCGGCGCGGGCGTATTGTTTCTTTTCACATCATCGACTTGTCATCAATCATACCGTATCATATGTTATAGAACCGCGAAAAACCATCTAAAATCAGATACCGTTGTACTTGTACGGTGGTTTAGCCAGCGCCGTTGGTTTTGGAAATCGATCGATTCCTGAAAGTTTTACGGCGGTGTTTTTTCTTTGGCGACGTCACCGTATCGTTGTTAAAACTTCCGAAAACGCGTGCATCATAATTCTATCTTCTTCGGAGTTCCACGTGGGGCCCGTACCGGAAACGTAGTCCGGAAATGATCATTGTTCCGATACGTCGATCGACTCTTGAGCGTTACACGTACTTGAGCCAGCGTCGGAATGTCGTAGAAATGTATCAGTGACAACCGGTACGGTACCCGGAATGTCGGCACAATTGAAGGAAAACAGTGTTGCGATTATCACCTGGTCCGAGGCAGGCGTGGCTCCAAGGGAGTGGGTCCACTGTGACCATGCCCCCCAGGCTTTTCAAAAATTTTAATTATTTAATACATTTTTGTCCTTGTAAACTATAAAATCCCAATTATTTAATTGGATACCTATGAAATAATAGAATTATTTGCAAAACAAAAAAAAAAATGAAGGCTGGATTTGGTAATATAAAATATTTTATAATATGTAAATACAAGAGATTATTTATTGGCAAAATTGCATTCCAGGTTAGTACATTCTCTAAGCACCCTCTGCAATTTAGCGATAGCTAAAATAATAATGGCCCTCCAGGTAAGTCTCTGAAGCCATGCCTGATCCGAGGACGGTGTAAACGATAACGATCAGGGGGGAGAGGATCGAGAGCGTCAGTTGGTGCAGTCGGGACACGTTACGAGCGTTCACGTTCGGTTCACGTGCACCCGTCCGTTACGGCGTATCGGCGGCTGCCGGTCCACCGCGGTAGCACGCGCCGAAACCGCGTGAGCGCCGACCGCGGAGAGTTTGGCCGTCGCGCGTGTCCGTGTCGCCCCCGAACGGCTGTTCAGTACCGTTCAAAACGCGTTTGCGAGTGCATCGCAATGTCTTAACACACCCATCGTCACGTGCGTTCACCCCGTCATCATCGGTAACCGTTAACGTTATCGTCTGGTATCGCAGTTTTTCCCACGATGTCGTTTCGTCCGTATCCGTTATCGACACATCGGCCAGAGCTTCGTCTCGGACGCCAGTCTTGAACAGACTCGAACACCGGTTTCCGGGTAAGACGTGATTTGTACCGCTTTCAATATCTTGTGCCGAAATCGATCGGTTTACGTTCGGAAAAATAAATCCGTCACCGGGAAGGTGTAGTTTCGATCCTGCCAAACGTTTCGAACAAATTTACTCGTATTTCATGTTACGACAATCGAAAACAATATAATGTTCTCGTAACAGAATATTAATATTTCATAACGTTTCGATTTTAAAATATTTTCTAGATATAAATTTATATCGCAATCACATATCAGTGTAAAATGTTCAATGTTAATACAACTATGTAATTTTTTTTTTTTTTTTTTTAACTTGAAATCATTAAGAGGTTGTGTAATTTTGTACCGTAAATGTTTTGCTTGATCTAACATTGTTTTTTTTATTTATTTTTTTTTTTTTTTTATATATTTAAAGTTATTAAATCTTCCAGAAATGAAGGAGAATGAAATGAAAAATTATTTGTGCTTAGTTTAAAAGATCACATAGAAAAATACTTAAAAAAATAAATTTTCTGGTTTAAAAACTAATAAATTTAATCGAATAGAAAAATGTCGTTAACTCGGTTAACTAAAATCTATTTATTATTAAAGTAAATTTTAATAAATATAAAATTTATTATTATATTATTATTTTTTTTTTCAACAGATAGAAATGATCTATTTAGATGTAATCGAATTGAAAATATACCTAATAGGTACGTAGATTATTAAAAAGAACATAATCAAATTATCTTAAGTCAGTAAACAAAGTTTGATTGAATAATATTTTTCTGAATATGATGAAAAAAAAAAGTATTGGATTGAACAATTATTCAGCATTTTAAGTCTTTTTATAATTGTAATTAATGTAGAATTGAAATACGTCGTACAATTTGCTTTTAGAACTAGTTGAAAAATATTGCCACTACAATAATTGTAGTTACCTTTTTATAAATATTATAAGTTATCATAATCAACAGTTATATGTAGTACACGAATAGACATTTATATGTTAAATTTAATAAATTATTCCATGCTTTATGAGTAATGATATCCTAATTTTTTTTTAAAAATCATAATAAAATATTATTTTAAAATTATAACTCATTAAATATGCTCGATTCTGATAAAAGCTAAAACATTAATATAAATGAGTCATGTTTTATTTATTTATTAATATATCAATTATTTTCAAACATTTTAAATAATAATGAGATACATTTCTGTAGAATGTGAAAAAAAAGTTTCATAAAATAACTAAAATGCATAAAAAATATCTGGAGAGATAAATAATTTATTTCTCTTAAAGTTTAGTTTGAAAAATGCGTCGCTTGATCATGTTCAGAATAATGATAATTATTAGTGACATTATTAATAGAGTGACACCTGTAATACACAAATAAATAACTCACAATAACGAATAATATAATTGCATAATATACTTGTTTTTTTCTTACATTTCCTTCAGTAAATTTTTTTATGCAATTGAAGTATTACTCATATTTTATTTGGATAATATGTTATGCAGTATTCTTTGAAAAATATTCAATCGAAAATTATTAAAAATTGTTAAATTATTATTCAACCATCTGAACATCATGTAAATTATGCATTTTAAATTACCTCGATATATACTGACACATTAATATTTAATAAAATGTGAGAAATATATACTTTAAATTTTTATCATTTGATGTTCATCGGATATTGTTGGTATCTAATAATTGTACACGAAATATTTTCAAAAACCATCGTATATTATCAAGATAATTAATTATTTATGATAAAACAATTAAGTGCCTTTATAACTATATTTCAAATTATACATATATATATAAATCAGAAGAAGATTATGGTAAATTTTATATTTTTTACGATTTATGTACACAATTTTATGAACTTTAATGAATTCCTTAACATTGACGACTTTCTCGTTAGAATAAAATTACTTTAACGACAAAAAGCCATTATTTTCGTAATATTTTATGCACTTCGAAGTACGTCTAATTTAAGATTCAGTTTATACTGAAGCATTGTGATAAGTAACAAAAGATATTATAAATGGTCTAGTAAATAAAAATAAATTTAATTTAACAATAACATTTAATTAGGCACTTAAAAAATAATTTACTTAATATAATATTGATTGACAAAAAAAAAAAAACTGAATAACTATTTTAGCGTAATTATATTATCCCAGCTCTTTGGATTTGAAAAATATCTTAAGATTTTTATACGTTGAATTATTTATTCCATGTTTTCATGTTAAAAATGTGAATTCTTACTTATACCTTGTTATTATGTGAATACATTAATATATTAATATGTTCCGCTTTTTTATTCATAGATACACTTATTGATTATTGTACTCTTTGTAGTAAATAGTCTCATATTTTTACTTCATTTATATTTATTTTTTTTACACAACTAAAAATTAGAAAATAATTAATGAATTTTCTCGTTTATTTTAAAATTGAAACTTTTTTTATTTTATTTTTTTTTAACTTTAAAAATACAAAGGGATATTTAATTTTAATTGAAAATAAATTTTTCTCTTACGTTTACTTAATGATTGAATTTATCTGGTATTTTAGGGAACTGATCACTACCTAAGTATATGAAAAGAATATTCGATATAAAGTTAATTTTATTTCGTTGTATATTTTTACGTATATAACTTCCAACTTATAACACAGATATAATTCATACATCGAAATCCTTATTTTTTGTAGAAAATATGTGTCTTGGGTTGAGCGAAGGTTGATTTTTATTATCAACAGATTTCAATTATTTTATAATAATTCCTAATACTCTTCTAATTGTTTCATTTTAATTAATTATTAGTTGATTTTTAAATATTTAAATAAATTTACTAATCTCTTATATAAATATAAATTCTACGAGGTTTTAATAAAAATTTGGAGAAAAAAATATGTATATTAAGAATTAATAAATATCTGTGTTATCAATACCTACTATATCATATGCATATTCAGTACCTATACGAATGTATAAGTATGGCTCAGTAATTATTGCACTAAGAATTATTAAAATTTATTGCTATGAAACTACCCAAAGTTGTAAATAAAAATGTAATAAACTTTTTTTATTTACCAAAATAACTATTAAAAAAAAAAAAAAAAAATTGGACAAGGATGTTTTATTAAGACTACCATAATACAGATACGGGTTCTTTTACAAAATGTTTTAAAATAAAAATTTATATTAATATTGGAATAATGTTTTTAGTCTAGTCTTCCAGAAGCCTACAAATAAAATTATTAACATTTGAAAACATTTTTATTTTATTTGTAATACACATTTGTGTACCATAAAAATGATTGCACTGCATGACAAATTATTTTTTTTAAGTTATTTAAGATATATCTTCGATTTAAGGACAGCAAGTTGTAAAAATTATGCATCGTCTTATTTAAATAATATTTCCACCACTACCATCACAATGGACAAAGCCCGAAATAATATAAATTATTATTTACAATAATTATATTATTCTGACATATGCTCATATTTCCCCCTAGTTATTTTATTTTTTACGTAAAAAAAAATTTAATAATTTATGTGAATAATATTTAAAAGTATCTAAAATTGTAATATAAATGAGGAAAATCAATGAAATTGCAATCAAATCAAAAAAATGTCAAACATTGTATTACATTTTTTTTAAATTTTTATTCGTACTTGGTATTCAATAATACATTTGAACAATAGAAAAAATTTAGTAGATGCAATAATTTCTGAGGCCTAGTTATTGCCAGTAGTAATAACTTATTACTTATTACTTTTTTTACATTTTTTCATAAATCGTAAAATAAACGATTTTTCGGAGTTTATTTTAAGTTTTAAACACAATTATTTAAGAATTCTACAAATTATAATAATGTATACTCGTATGATGGTAAAAATAAGCCCCAATTTATGCGATGGTCGTTTCGTGGCTTCCTTTTGACTACTAAAACATAATCCCTGCTTGAAATGCATTTCTTTATGACATATCTTAAACAACGTCGCTTTTTATCTTTGATAATTACGGTTTGTAACATTTTGTATTATACGAAGCAGGACAAATGAGGTTTGTGGTTTTGTAACCCAGATAAGGACATCCAGAAGCGAACTAAATGTCGTTTCAGTGCAAGCCGTTTGTCCAAAAGAAAGGGTGTTAGACCAACTGTCCGACGCTTTATTAACCATTGACTTTTACCATTCAAACCATTAGTCCTACGATACATTCTTTTTTTTTACTGTCCATAAGATCGTAATAGATTTTTTTTTTAACATTCGCATTATCATTTCTTTTATTATTTCATTTACAGTCTTACTAAACCATAAATAAACTTAAGAGAAATAAATATGAGCCAAGTGATACCACATTATCGTAGTAAAAATGTTTTATTATCTACTAATGACCAAAATTAATTATAGCTTTTTATACCTCGAAATGAATATAAAATCTTAAAATTATAGACATTTGTATATAGGTAAATTTATTGATTCATAGTTGTGATTTCACTTAAAATGTATGTATCAAATGAATAATTACCAAGATCCTGTGAATTTAAGTTTTTTGAATTTCTCCTCTAACTATGCGAGGATGCCTTAGTACACTAATTCCTTGTGTTTCAATCTGCTATACATTTCTTTCACAAATATTTAAATATATACACTAGTAATTTATTGTTATTGCTCTTCCTATCACAATTCACTATTTTTACTCTGACCAGCATGTATTTCTTGTTACTAACTTTTTTTCATATCCACCTCGACTATTTAATACTTCTCCTTTGAATCTCTTCTCAAAATGACTAGATCATTTAGTTTTATTTCGTTTGTAATGACCTGTTTATTGTTTTCACATCTTGCAATACCATATAATTTTGACTGCTTTAGATTTTAATAAAGTAAACATTTCAAATTTTACTGAATTGTCAATGTAGCGATTTTTAGGTCAGAAACATGGTAATGTTAATTTCTAGTAGGCATTTAATATTAGTTCTCATATCAAATGTGAA